AGAGAACTGCAGTATTATAATTAATTAGTGATAATAGGTTATAGTCTTCTAATTGCATATACAGCACAACAAACAAGTTCTTTTTATCACGGAAAGCTTTTAGCATATCGTGAACAAGATAAAACATTGTTGTTTTCTTATTCTTAAAGTTAGCCATTTGCTCTGATATATGATCTAGCCTACTTATCGCCTCTTCATAAAATAAGGTTGGAATGACTTTAATTTGCACTGCATTTGTCATTGTATGTTGAGTGTCTCATTTCTCTTGCATGTCTTTAAATAATTTAATTCTAAATTAGGTCTCAATAAAGTTTTCATTAATGATTACCACAATATTTGTTGGAGGGAGGACAGGAACATAAGTTTTGAACTGGGCCTGAGTTTATACACAGAGTTCACTATTTGACGCTTGTTGATCCTCTCTACATCTCAATAGATAGACCTCGGTGGATTTCGCGTTGCTTGGTGAATACAGAGCAAATAGAAAATTGTCAACTGGTGATAACTGATTGTGGAAACGAAAATACCGAACAACTAGACCTTCCGATATCCTGCTGTGTTGGAGAACAGGTTTTCCAGGAACATAGATTGCGCTTAAATAATTAGGAATTGGATGGATTCAGTATTTTATCTGAAGAATCCCAGCAGAAAAATTCTCTTCAATGTCAATTCAAAAGAACCAGAAGGAACTGGTGCCTGCAGAAGGGAATTAGAAGTAGTGGAGTCCCACAGAATGTGGATAATACTGCATCAGTATCTGAAAACAACAAAACAGTGGTTGAGAGATACCCTGGAGTCACAGTTAAGGAATGTATTTCAGCTTCATTGTCAAGGCTTTCTTTGAAATTGGACCGTATGGATGAAGTTCAAATCACAGGTGCAGTGACCTCTCAGAATTCTAGCTCGACTCAAAAGTAAAAAGTTGTGGTGGAAGTGGTTTACATAGACCACTCTAAACATAAAAGCTTGGATGAAGCAAATAAAGAAGTTGAGGGAGGTAGTGACATGATGTAGGAATCATTTCCTGGAGATCCACCAGAGCAGGCTTCAGTCCCAAATTGCGCATGCTCAACAGCTGTTAATAATGTATATGAACTACCTATCTGGATGTTCTGAGCTTCAACATCCAAATATTGGTGTCATACGAGTGTCCCAGGATATTAATCCTGGATCTGGTTTGAATGGAACCTTGCTTGCAAACAAAGCTTCCTGCACATTCATTCATAGTTAGTAAAATACATAATTTGAAAAAATATGAATAAAATACGCATGTTTATAATACATTATTAAACGTTAAAGTGCTAAATTCTTTATACCGTTAATAACTCTAGAAAAGTAAAAAATCAAAAAAAGACAATAGAGACTCGGATAATGGCCTAATAGTAATGGATAATGCTCTAAATTACTCTTATCAATAAACGAAAATTGGGGAAAAAAATTTTAGAAGAAAAAAAGGATCCCACTATATATCTAAAGCGTATAGCCGCGTGGCTATACTATTTTTTTAAAAACCTAGTACGGCCGCTCGGCTATGCTATTTTTTTAAACAAATTTAAAAAATCTAGTATAGCCGCGTAGCTATACTATTTATTAAAAAATACAAAAGAGGACGCGTTCAGCGATTAGGCGCCCACGTGTCAAAAAGCGTATAGCCGCGCGGCTATACTATTTTTTAAAACAAATTAAAAACCGGTTATAGCCGGGCGGCTATACAATTTATATATACTATTTAAAAAAACCCGCCTAGCGCCTAGGCGACACATGTCAAAAGAGTCAAGCCGCGCGGCTATACTATTTTTATAAAAGTTAGGAAAACCCGAATATAGCCGATACTATTTTTATGAAACATTAATACAACCGAGTATAACCGAGCGGCTAAACTATTTTTTTTAAAAATTTAAAAAGGGGTGTAGCCGAGCGGCGATACGATTTTTAAAAAAATAGGAAAAACCAGAGTATAGCCGATCGGCTACACTATTTTTTAAAAAAATTACAAAAATAGAGTATGGCCGCGCGGCTATACTAGTTTTATGACACATTAATAAAACCGAGGTCATCTGCAAACAAATACTCTTATACCTTACTAAGATTTTCTTGAGTTGAAGCTAAATTTTTTTTTTTTTTTTTTAACTCAGTGTTTTTTTTTCTTTTTGAAAACATTGTTACTCATGGTGTGCATCATGACCCCAGTTAGTACTTTAATAAATTAAAAAAACAAAACAAAACATAATTTTAATGTCAAGCTACAAGAAAACGTTTTTAATTTTTAAACCTGTTTGGTTGCTGAGAAAATTTTAAACCAGGGACCGCCCATTTCAGTTTCTCTGGACTGGAAGGTTCCAAACGGTGGGGCTCAGACCTCTTTGACCTTCCGGGCTGTCTGCTTGAGTCCCAACACTGTTTATGATCACGAGACCTCCAATTTCGTTGAGTTCTATTCCATTCGCCTCTTTTATTCTTCCTGTCTTTGAATTTCTCGCTCTCTTCTTGTGCCTCTGCTCGTTAGGGTTTTCTGAATGCTGATAAGTTTGCCTATTTCCGTACCTCAACTCCTAATGTAGAAAATGCATGTTCTCTGTTTTCCACTTTTTGGGTTTTTGGCTTCTAATCCTGTTTGTTTGAAAGGAAAAGAAATAAATTCCAGGAAAATTTGGGAGCGAATAAAACTAAATAAATACTTATCATTCTCATTTTGTCAGTTTATGAATGTTATTGTTTTTTCTTTAACACTTTCTGAGTATGCCAATGTTTCTTTATTGTTTCTTTGTTGGTTAGCAATGGTTGGAGTAGAAATAAGGTGTGGATTCTACCCCAAAGGGGTTTTTATGCACGCAGGACAATGCTATATAGCCCAACTATTTTCCCCAACTTATGGTCATTCTCAAGTTTTAGATTCTATCACATTGTAGTGTTTTTAATGCAAGATGTGGTGTGCGTATCATGTGCCATTTAGGCTGGGAGAAATAGTTGGGGTTAGTAGCATTTTCCATAATTCCATGTTTGTATGTCTGTGTGCATGTAAATGTAGATTAGTAGATGTATGCAAATGTATGCATGCATGGTGGAGAATCTGTAACCATTGTTGCACATGCAATTGGTGCCTGCAAGCATGTTTGCAAATGTAGATGTATTTATGTATGTAAAGTATGTTAGAGAATCTGCAGCCATGCTTGCAAATGTGTAGTTGGTGCCCGGAGATCAAATTCTAGTAGGAGACTGCTGCTAACGGAAAATCCAGTCAGTGTGGCGTCTATTTCATTTCTGTTATCGTATCTTGAACAGGAGTAGAAATTCATACTGCTGAGAGCACAATAAAGTAGAGAAAATGCACTTCAACTTTGATGCCTTAAGACTGAACTTTGTTAGCATTAGAGAATTTAATGGTGCATAGTTGTTTGGGTAACATATTCATTTTCCATATCTTATGATAATTATAGATAGGGTTGAGTCTGGCCTTCTTCATATTCTTCTACTTGTGCTGCAGAACATTATGCTTAGCTTCAGTTTCCAAGCCCAATGACAATGACCTGGGTGGGATTTGAATATTGGTTTTATTAGCTTTCTTACTACGCATTTTTCTTTCAAATGAGACAACAGCACCTCACATGAAAAGAAAGTGAGACTGCTTCACATGAAACTGTTGAATTATTCAACGAAGATGTAAGCCATTATGGATATTGACACAATGGGAGTTGATCTGTTTCCCACTTTCAGAATGTTGACTTTGATCCTCTCTACCACGATATTAGATGACTGTGGGACAACCTATGGAAGCTTATGACGACTGCATTTCTAATTTTCTGGAGGCCCAAACACGCAAGCGCACCTCTTCTTTAAAGAGAATCTTCCCCCTGAAAACTTTTCAAAGGAGGTAGCCTTAAATTTATAGTTTCTCCAAACTAGCTAGTACGATAAATGATCTTTTGCAACATTCATTCATGTGTGTGCACAGCATTCATTTTTTCTTGAAGTTGCTCTCTCTTCTGGTTTAGATGCACAATAGATCTAGAACATATCCAATTTATGAGATAGTCAAAGAATTATATAGCAGTTTCCCCTTTTTTGCTTCTTGCCTTGTGAACTTCCTTCTAGGCACTTTAATTTTGTGTCAGTGTTGAGTTGCTATAGCTCAGTGCTCACCTTTGTTGGCTTGCATAAACTGAACTCTCTCTTATGTTTTTTTCCTTTTTTTTTCACAATGGAAATTGACCTTTAAAATTTTATAGGCATAACTTCAGATTCCTAAACTGGTTCTCCATAAGATAAGGCAACGTAACCGACTCGATCTTGAGCTTGATGAATATGCTCACAATACCTTTGCAAACAATACAAGCCTATAATGCAAATTTTTGTTACCACAGTGCACAATTCCATACATATATACATACATCATACCTGTGTGGCAGGATGCATAAAATATATGTATTGTGTCTGTTTTTCTTCCAATTGATAAATGTACATTCAACCATGAATTTTTAGTTTTGTAAAAAATGGGCCTGTGAACTGAAAGTGTAACTGTGGTGGAAGAAAATGCTTTGTGATGGTTTCAGAAATTGAATTCTTTTTTGTAGGTGTTCATGTTTTGAAAGTGTTCAGATGGTTTCCAGGTGGGGAATTTCATCTAACCACAACTTGTAAATTCTATTGTAATGGGGCTTTGGGACTGAAATAGCAGATTGTTGTTGGTAATTGTATATGATGCCTTAGATTTTAAAATACAGAAATCCTGTTTTAAGCATTCACCTTTGTTAGTGCCCAGATGGTTGCTTGACCTCAAAGGGATTTATGGCAGCATCATGGTTATTTTCATTGTCCAAATCTTTTCCTGACTGTTTCTCCAACATGAGAGCTGCTTGGGTTCATTGCACAGTTACAATAACTCATAGATATTCATATTTTGTACCAAGCTTTTATCTTGCCTGTCCACATGCAGACATGAACTGACAATTTCTCTCTAGTGGCCACCTCTTACAAAGTATGTATACAGTTATTTTCTTTTATATGCATGAAAGTGTTTTGCTAGCTTTGTGGTGCTAGTCTTAATCATATTTTACTTATTTGTTTTACTTGTTCTGTTCATAATGATAAAACTGATCCTATTTTCTTACCTTTCTACTTAATAACCTTTCAATATGATTGGTATACTTTGGTCACATCACATGCCAACGTGTCTGTTTCATCTGTTTTAGCTGTTTATGCCGACCTGTAAATTTGTATGGATTTTGCTAAGGTTAGTTGACCACACGCGCTTGGGCGACTGACCATAGCATATTCCAGTGTTCTCTGCAGCTAAGGGTTTACATGCTTTGATGACAGGTAATTTTTTTTAATGACCCTTTATGGCGAGAAAAACTTAGTTGCAATGGGGATAACATTGTTTTGCTTTCCCCGGCCAATAATGCTACGCCACGTGGAAGTGTTATCACGTGTGTCATAGCATTATTGACCGGGGATAGCAAAATAGTGTTATTCCCGTTTCATGGAAGTCTTTCTCATTTATGGCACACAGTCTGAGTGCTTCATGGGTACTTAATTCCTTTAATTACTGTATCTAAATTGCAGGAGAAGCGGGAGAGTACATTGAACAGCTCATATGGCACAGTCTTTGTCATTTTGGAAAGTCCTCTAGTTAGGCATGACTCTTGTTTTACTCCTTTCGGCCTTGTTTCTTTGGATGTCAGAAATTAAAATGTGAATATACATCTTCATAAACTGTAAGCATCACATGCTTCAAAACTATTGGGAAAAAAAACAAATACAAGTAAATAGAAAACAAAGGGAACTACTTTACTCTAGTTTCATCCTTGGTTCTATTTGATTTGTAATAAGCTTTTGATTTTGTGGTTCAATCAGTCTAGATGGAGCACATTTGAAGGCTAACCTAACCCCAGAAAAGAAGGGGACAAATTTAATTTCTATGGTTGGTGTTGTTATCATGAAGAAAGAGTTGGATACAACTTACAAATTGCATCCCTTTTGTAGCCAAACTGGTATGTATTTTCTTCTCCAAAACCAATCATTTGGGTTTCATCTTTGTATTAAGAGGCTACATTTTGATGCAATTGAAAAAGATTATGACTCGTATATGGCCCATGGGTGTTGCTTAAAGGTGGTTTAAAGTAGAAACTCAGAACTTTATGGTGATGGGGAATGTAAAAAGAAGAGTTTTTCCCTTTGAACCCAAGTTGGCTTTTCCTAACAGCAAGGAAACAGGGAAGAAAATAAAAAGATCCAATCAAAGATTCATAAAATTACTGACTTCGATTGAATTTTATTTTATTAAATTTAATTTTTTATTTAGTTTGTTAGAGGAGGGATGGCAACTGCACGATTTGAATTTTGTTCCCCCAAATATTTGACCAAAAATTATAAATAAAATAAGAATGTTCCCCAATCGTCGGTGATACATATACAGTGGTTGAGTTGAATGGAAGAGATGGTGATGTTTGATGCCATTAAAAAAATAAGGCCCACATGTGACATTGCCACCTCCTCAGTTGAATTCGTATCACAACCACCGACGCTTCTTATTAGACTATACTATAATACATGATCTGATTTTATTATGCTCTATTTCTAAATCTTAAAATAAAATTAAAAATCTTTTGCATTTTGTTTCGAACTTCTTGAAGGAAACCCCAAAAAACCGTAATCTAAGACCCAAATGCAGAGTAATTTTTGAGTGTTCCCCGTACACCACGTGGTTGGTGTACCATCCAATAGACGGAAGACATATGGAATATTTCCAATGCAATCCGCCACATGTCATAAGAAGAAATGCAGTAAGTTGGATAATAATTCCACATGTTCTATGTTTATTGGATGGTACACCAGACACGTGGTGTACCTGGAACATTTAAAAATTTCTCCATAGTTGTTATATCACAATCATTCACGAGGTCAGATAGGGCATGATATGGACATTTTGAGAATGGGAGACATAATGAAAAAAGTACTTACATGTAATAAGTGTATACACCTTGTCACAACAATTTTGATCTTTTGATTCTCATTGACAATGAAAATATGTAGGTCGGTAACCATTGAATCAAAATCTAAGGAGCTCCTCCTCAAAATATAGAATTTAGTTTTCTCTTGTTCTTGCTAAAGATTTCAAAATCTTGGTTTCAGAAGAAAAAGAAACAAAGAATTGATTTTGTTGGAGAATAATAGTGATATTTTGGAGTGATATAAATGGAATTTTGAGCATATAATAATAATACTAAAATTGAAGCACAGTGTTTGCAAATACTCTGAACTGAAAAACTTAAAAGTACTCTACGCACGTTGTGGACGTTGACTGAACGAAGCGAACAAAATCTGAATCTAATTTGGAAGTGAGACCTCACTGTAAAAACGCGTGGGCAGCTTCGCACAGTAACCCTCCTACTCCTGGTGAGAAAAGAAAACCTAAATTCCAATCTCAGACAAAGGCAAAGAGGGGCTCAGAAAGCCATCTTCTCCTTCTTCTCCTTCTACTCTCTCTCTCTCTATCTCTATATCTCTATATCTCTATCTCTGTCTTTCTCTCTCTCCCCTTCCCTCTCTCTCTCTCTTTCTTTCTCTCACTTAGGTTCTTGTGACAAGACAATGACGGCGGTCTCTGCTGACGTCACCAAGCTAACGAAGCGTGAGGTCCAACACTCCCATCCCTCTATCTTCTTTACCCTTTTTCTTCTTCTTCGTGAATGATGTTTTCATTCGCCGGTTTTAGGGTTTTTCAGAGGTTTGCCTTCGCAGTTTGCTTCTCTCTTCTATTTGCATTTTCTTTCTTTTCCTTCGTTTCTACTTTGTTTGGTTCGCCAGAAAATTGAATTGGAAACAACAAAACAAAAAAGCCCCCATTACTTTCCGCTTATTTTTTTAAATTTTTTTGAATTTTTTGAATTGATTTGAAATTAAATATTCTGCTAGTTGTTGGACTGAGACTGTAATTGTTTAATCTCCATGCAATGTGAATTATTGTTTGCTTTTCTAGCAATTTTATTTTTCCCGGCATTTTCTCAGAAGCCAAACAGGGTGCTTTGGGAATCCGGAATACGAGGATTGTTTTTTGTTTTTTCTTTCTCATTTTGCTCGAGTAGTCTCTGCCATGGTAAAACGGCGACGTTGCTGGTTTTGGTAGTACCGAGCCGAAAAAGGACGTTTCCCGTTTTGTGCTTTGTTTCCAATTCAACATTAATGAAGAAATTAATTGGATAATAGAATATTCAGAGTCCTAATTAGGGTAACCTTCAATTAATGACGATTTTCTACCCAATCAAAACCGTTTTTCCTGTGAATTTATGGCCCAAACCCGTCTGTATTATGCAATGCCACTTTGATAAGTAATTACGTAATAATCCAATCCAATCCAATCCCTGAGATAACTTTTCCTTTTTGACTTCTCACTGGGATATCTCTTCCTTTTGAGTTTGGTTTATTGTTTTGAACTATATATATAACAAGCAAATTGCATGCTCACTTGTTTGTCTATGCCTTAGAGTTTTCTTAATTAACGTTTGCTTCCTTTGTTGCCCTTTTGCCACTGTAAACAGAATATTAGTGCCATGGCTAGTTCTATGCCCACTGATGATAATTTCAATATCGAGAGCTTCCTCCCAGACGAACTCAAGGCTCTTGATTTCCCCATGGAAGACATTGAAGAGTGTGTTGAAGATGAAGATTGGTATGCGCAATTCCAAAACCTCGAACCGCCCTCCTTCGAAGATTTGTTTTGTCCAAGAGATTTGGATGGTAATGACGACATGAAACCTAAGAACCTCTCCACGTCGGTGAGTTTATTATCTTCTGCCCCTTAAAGGGTTTTCATTATATTTGCGTTTTAGTGTGAAAAGGTACTTGCCTCTATTAAGTAGTTTCGCATGGCGCCGTTGTGTTGAATTTTTTCTGCTAATATGATTGATGGTTGAGCCCAGCAATTGGTTTTGACAATTTTTCTTCCATACATAACTAGTTAGTTTGTCTCTGCCTGTTGCTTTGCACTATGGCATATAATATTTGAGGAAGACTGTGACTAAGTGGTGTATATAATCGGCAATTTTATTCATATGGGATACAAAAAGTATACATAACTAGTTATTGTCAAATGCTTGAATAATACACCTTACCCTTTTAATGTACTATGAACATTATGGTTAGGCAAAGTGTAGTGATGATGGAAAGCCTACTATTTGTATATTTTCTTTTGATAAGATACTACAGGTATACTTTGAAAGAAGATAGAAGTAAGTATATATCTCTGGCATGTCATCACAGCTTCCATTATATAGGATTTTTTTTGTTATGTAGTTGAGTTTTCATGCCTGCCCTTGTATTTCCACCACCCAAAGTGGCTTCCTGCAAGTTGAACATATCCTTGAAGGATGTAAATCATATGGTGTTACTGGGTGACTTTGATGGAATGAGGCTCAGAGTAATATTCTGAGACTAGATTTAACCAATGCATCTTGCACATACAAGACTTGCATAGCAGACTATTGTTTCTTCACTTCGTGATATAGGTATTAGAGTCTTTCCTTATGGTTTGTAATGTACAAGAATCAGAACCATACATTAAGTCAGTATTAATTTTTTTTATAGAACAAATAAAAGGATATGATGAATTAGACATCTAGGCTTTTTCTGGTTGGCAGGATTTATATAAGATATACGTATTTGATTAGAGAAAACTGCTTATTATGCATCTGCAATTTATCTCAAATAAGTTTTAGGCTTCACTTGAAGATTTCAGCTCTAGTTTTACAATTCTAAGAGGACTAAGGTGTCTGGTGTTCGTTTTTCATATAGATTATACTCTAAAATTAGGGTCTTTTGTTGCTTTGAAGCTTTCTTCAAGTCTATCAATGTGGATGGTGTTCAATTTTTATCTTATTCTTGAGAAGGCTCAACCTCTGCGTAATGGCCTTGTGGCCCATATAAATTAGTTATAACCTTCGTGCAGTTGATGGTGAAACACATATGAAAACTCACTGAGTTTTATGTTTAGGAATGGTAGGATACCTCATTTGTACTTGGTATCTTAAATTTGCTTGCCTTTTTCTTGTCTCGTTTCTTGCAAAGAAACTTGGGGTTTTATATTGTTCTAGCCAGAATTTATGTAACAAATGCAACATTGGTCCTTCTCTCATCTATTTCTTTTGGTTATTCTGATTGTCCTTTGATTTTCTTTCAGTATGGACAAACTTCTCAGCGAAATCAATTACCAAGGACTGCTGCTAAAACTACCCAAGGCATAAGCAGTATTCGCAGCGAGGACCTTGAAAGTATTGGCTCTTGTGCTGCTCAATTTGAGCCCAAGTTCGAAAAGCGTACCCGAAGCAAGCTTTCACGAAGCAAGCGTTCAAGCCCTGCTATTTTCAATACTCAGTTCTTCCCCAGCACCTCATCCAACTCCTCCGCCTCTGAAAATGTATATCGTTGGGATGCTTCTGAATCAGACTTAGAAGGCTCTCTCACTGAGGAGATGTCGAACGCTGCCAAAAGAAAACAAAAGAAGAAAAGGAATCTATCGCAACTCTCAAGTGCAGAGATGAGAAAGCTCTCCCCGGTGGAACCAGGTGAGAGTCGGGAGACTAAAAGATGCATGCACTGTGCAGTGACGAAGACCCCTCAGT